AAAAAAAATCGAAAAAATGATTTCAAATTAATATTGCATATTAATCCACTATTAAGTAACTAACAATGTCATAAGATTTCATATATTTAATATATATGTAAATAAGTTAATAAAAATCGACGGATCGTTAACCTTGTAGGTCGGTTGGTCGTGGTTGCTGTTGTCACCTCTCGTAGTTTAGTCGTCAGAACATTGGTGCGTAAAGCCAAAGGTCCCGGGTTCGATTCCCGGCGGGGGGTGACGACACCGACCATTTTTCCCTCATTAATTTGAGGTAGTTTGTAGTGGGTAAATTAAAAAAAAAAACCGAAAAAATGATTTTAAACTAAGATATTTAATCGTTAAATAATAACATTTGTAGCTTACGTTTCATGTGATATACAATTATTGCTTAAAAAATTGAGTGTTAGTAATTATTACACACTATCAGAGGTAATGGTCCTCCTAAAAAACAGAACTGAAACAGCTTTAGAGATCGATTTATTTCAGAATGATCATGTTCAATCGCAATCGGTAAAAGCTCAAATCAAACATTTGAAGACGCTCATTGTTAACTTCTGTGATCCTTTCTTTCTCCAGCAATAAAAATGTACCTAGTTATACTGTAGTTTACTACTACTAGGAAAGTAGTTGTACTCCTTCGCTCCCTAATCAGTAATAATAATTAAGTGGGCAAAGTTAAGGGAACAGTTGACCTATTAATGGGTACTCCAAGGTGAATGGTAAGGGTGTTACCTCAGGAGCTTTAAGTTTATAACAATTTATGAGGAATTTCGAGTAGCGGAAAAGTGTATTTTTACGTGTTTCAGGTATAAATCTGATTACAAAATAAAATCGATATTGAGGCAATCCAATTCTCTCAGCAAATGAATACGTGTANACGATTTGAAAAACTTCACTTATTGAACAAACCAAAAATGATTGATATTGATTTTACATCAATAAAATTATTTGCAATCCTATTTTGGTTTTGATTTTTCACGCTAAACAAACTATTTTGGCATTAGTGTCTCTTTTCCAGTTAAAACAGGTGACAATGGCAAATAAGGAAGCTATAGCAGAATTATCTGTTACTGAACTGAAGAAACTAAAACATAAAGATAGAAAAACTGTATCCCAATCACTTTAAACAGAAGAAAAACTCCAATATTTAAAACAGTGAATAAATACCTGCAAGGTTTTCTTAAAAAATATTTTATACTTAAGTAAATGTAGAAAATTAAATAGGTACTACAAAAAAGTATTTATTTAAAAATACGGATTTTGCATTTAGCGTTTAAAATACAAAAGGGAACTTTTTGGAATGTTATATTTAAAATAAAAAATCAAGAAAACATTTGCGTTTTGTATTTAAATACTTTTAAAAAACCATTACCAAATGCATACTAAATTTTTTATTTATTTGAATCATTCCATACGGGAGGCGGAAATAGTAGGATAGGAACTATGTATATCCTATTTGTTATTTCAAATGTAACAAAACTTTTAACTAAATTAGCACCTTGTTTTTACCGAATTTTCTTCCATATTACAACCATTTCTGCAATATAGAATTGAAAAAATTGTTGGATAACTCTAATTACAGCCAATATTTTTATTACATAAAACACCACACTTATTCCTGGACGTTAATACAATATTATAAGTATCCCATTGTGTTGGGACCATGTCATGTTAAATCTGAACAAAACACTGTAAATCTAAAACGTTGTTTCAGCTACATGAAAATTGGCCGAAAAACAAATACCAGAGAATCGTAAGCCATTAAGTCCCGTGGGAAATCCACAAATTGAATTGAAATAAGACGAACAAGTAAAAATGAAAGAAAAACTGGATTCTTCCCGACTGAGATTACGTTCGTCACTCTCAATACATCTTGTTACAGTTTAATCAAAAACGATTGCAGCACCTCCACGCATGCAAGGGTTCGTAACTACACGTTTTCGGTGACATATACAAAATACTTTCGAAGGTAAATAAAACAGTCATCTGCCTAAAGAATTAGTGGGATTATTTTCTGTGTTTTCTATTTTCAAAATTCATGTGGGTACAAAGAGTGCCAGGGTGGTTCCTCACGATTTCAATAGCATCCTAATTGGATCTAAATAAAAATAATTGGCTCAAAATTGGTATTTACTTGCACGCTAATGAAAATAATGAAGATATTGATTTATTTAATTGACGGTCCCTGTGTTTAAAGACAATTAACTTCCGTAATTGGAGTTATAGAAATATTGGGTTTTGTTGAAATTCTGAAAAACAACCATAACAATCATTTTTAGGGTACCGTACGTCCGAACGAAAAACGGAACCCTTATAGGGTTATTCTGTCTGTTGGTCTGTCGCAGTCAATTTGCTGCGAATCTACTGGACCGATTAAGTTGAAATTTAGTACACATCAGGGCCGGACTGGGCCGGGGGGTAGGGTTGCACTTTCCCTTCNCATTTTTCTCGTGGAAAGTGATAAAAAGTATCCTATGTCCTTCTCCCGGTTGTAAGATACCTCCCCATCAATTTTCAGCCAAATCGGTTCAGCCGTTCTTGAGTTATAAGTGAAGTAACTAACACGACTTTCTTTTATATATATAGATTATACTGAAAAGAATTTTGCGTGTGGCTGTAACTACCTACTATTCCCACATTATCTACCCGGCTTGGACTGTACCATTAATTTACTAGACATATTTAGAACAAACAAAATAGCTCAAAACCCCAACGCCAAAACGCGACACTAAAGTAACTTTGTTACCCAAAAATTGCTTCGGACAATTACAGTGTCGTGTTTTGGCGTTGGGGTTTTGAGCTATTTTGTTTGTTCTACAACAACCGCCAAAGTTTTCCAATCTTCATAGTTAGACATATTGATCTTTCCCACAGACAAAAATATGGAAGAAGATATGCCACAACACTGTATATTAAGAGATTCTAGTCCCATGGTGCTATGCCTAAGAAAAATACATCGCAATGGTGATCATAGATGTGCTGGTGATTTGATACAGTCTTTCGTTTCGTTGCAGAAAGTTAGCGTAAGTCATTAAGTTATCTAAACTGAATTTAAACAATTTATCGAACTGTAGTCATAAAAAGTTACACAATAATTTATTGATGCGTTCTTGCGCAGATCTTACAGGAAATTACGTCATCGCTTCCGCTAGACGAGCGTCTCGAAATTCTAGAATCCGTTCACCACCTGCTCAGCGAACGTAACAAGAAGCATTCGTTTAAGAACCGATCGCACACGCTAGGAAGTTTCGGGAACTCCAGGTCGCGTTCCCGTAACACAGACAACGGTCTCGGTTTAATCCAGAGATATATCCCGAAGGAAGAGAGCGCCGGCATCAGAATAGATGACGGCTCCAGAGGCGACGAAGTCAGCAAAAACGAGGACGTTCTAATTGGAAAAAGTCTCATTAGAAACGAACGTGGTAATAAAATCGACATTAGGGGCAATTCATTGATCGGAAGCTGCAGGGCAGCGAGAATTCGTGAAGATAACAACATCATCTACTTTCAGGACAGCTTTAAGGTTCAGTCGTTGTCAAAAAAGCCGAGCTTTAAGTATTAATTTTATTTTGTCCGCGTACGCCCGAGAACAAAAACTCTGATCCGGGGAATTCATCAGAAAAGTTGGGGTTGAAACAAATGATGAATGAATACGATATTAATTCAGAAATACTTCTGTTAGTGATTTTCTGGAATCCATGAATGTGAAAATCACGTTTCTGAATCTTTTTCCAACTTTATAATAATATAATAAGTATTAAACATTCCTGTTTTAATTAAATAATAATCTAATTGAAAACAAAATTAGCTTGTTTACGATAGATACATCATATAATACCCTGTTTTAACACATTCTTAATTTGCATTTTGGGTTTTTACATTCAAATTTTACCTTTTTGATTTAGTTAATGAGAAATTAGAGAACTGAGGATGTCAATAAGAAATAGGCGGGATAGGGTGGTAGGATACCTTCTAGATTAGATTCTGTTCGCAAATAGTTAAGGATGTGGAATGTTCTAGTTTTAGAGAAATGTGAAGATTAGCTCAGGATAGGAAAGAGTTGAGGTACGTGACCAACCAGTCTTAGGACTGACGACCTGATGATGATTACATGATTACATTTAAGATGTCATTCTCATTATTTAACAGATTTATAAATTCTAAATGACCAATTGTCACATTAATCAATGGATGAGGAAATATCAAATCTTCAAATCTAATTATATCTTGAAGATTATCGAGAAACAGCTCTGCATGGAAAGCATTTAATTTCAGGTGAAAATAAGAAGTTAATTAATAACTAAAAATAAAAAAAGTTTCCTCACTAATTGCATATATTTCATCAATTCGACCAGTTGAGGAAGTGAATAATTCATACTTTCCAGAAGTATGAATGAATTTGATAAAAAAACAGTTCCATATTATTATAACCAAAAATTAATAATAAGTATGTATGTTTTAGATTTTTTTAATATTCTATGAATGTTAATAACACGGATCCTTGATTCTTTTAATTTAGAAAAATATTCATCAATAAATGTCTCGAACATATTGTATTTCATGATTTACTTTCTTTATTTATTTATAATATTATTAAATTTAAATCTACCCTAGCAAAATTCACACATGTTTAATAATGTGAAAATCGCACACATTTGGTAAACCATTTACTTCACATACTTGTAGACGTGTAAAAACTGACTGCAAGCATTCACACATGCGAAGTGTTTGAAAATCACACACTTGGGTTTGCAGTGCACCAAAATATACTCACCATAAGGATTAAAGATTGGTCAAAAACGAATAAAATAATGACCAGTGAAACACGTGCCATAAAAGAAAATATATTTTTCAAATCGATGGTCGGCTGTCGGTAATAAGAGAGTGCGAAAGAACGGCGACGGCGACGTCGCAGACGGCCATGCCCAGCATCCGAGAGGCGGTTATATTATTATTGTTACGCGCAGCATCCCTACAACCCTCAATGTATCGCGACCGTGGCGCAGCAGTTCCCCCATATCACGGTCGGTTATCCTGTCTAGTTCTCACCCAGGTACCTACACGGGCTACGATCCAAATATAGGTTAATTACATTAAAATTGCACTAGCCAAGTTTCAGAAACAATCGCGTTTGTTGCCGCTTGATTTCACGACACGTTGAAAGTAAGGTAGGGTGCCAATTCGAATGTCAAGGATGAAGGACTCTCTCTAGGAATTAGACCAGGAACATTCCGACCGACAAGGTACAGTAAAAATGAATTCCATTTCAATTAATTACACATGTTACGCTTTTAAAATACCTATCTATGCATTTTTTTATAAAATTCACGTTATCATCAATCCTTGCCAAGTATAACATATTCAATAAAAGATTCTGTGTATTGTTTATTTTGAATTTAACAAAAATTTTAAACAAAATTTGAAGGCTCCCTTATTTCCAAGATTATTCATAAAACTAAAATTAAGTTAACGAGTTAGGTGCCTGTAGTAAGTAACATTTTAGGTGTACTTCCTTGTACTAGTAAATGTTTTGTAAGAGTTTTAGGAAAGCCGCTATTTCTTAAATATATATATAAATATGTCTCAACAATTCTCATCTATAATTGTCTAACTGTTACTACAGTAGCC